GTAATAAGACAGTATCTAAAAAGAGCATTAAAGGTTCTTCAATGACCGAGAAGTTCAGTAATTTTTCGGTATATGTCCAAATATAGTGAACAGAGGTTTAACATTTTGCAACATACAAAACTAGATGCACATCCCAACAAATACGTAGTTATTTTCAAGTCTTGACTGAGTTACGAATATTGGAGCTTTAAAGGTTTCATGAGGCAATCAATTTCAAAAAGGATTGAACTGTGCTTCCCCCTCGATGTCATGTTTACTAGGCCCTAATCAGTGATAGAAGACACACTATAAATTGTTACATCTGAACGAAGAATAAGTGAATGGTAACTGCTAGGATCTATTTATGGATTTTTACTATATATATTCTTACTGTATAACTATCAAGTAAGTAGATTTTATGTATTTATATTCCTTTTATTATAAGCTTCCATTTGAGCTATTAACTACTATCACATGATTCACTATTCCTAAGTTATTCCCAGTTTATTAGTTAGTCTCTTACACTCACAGGACACATTTAGCTTGATCTTGTGTGGTTGTTATTTTCTATCTTATTGTATGATGCGGTCTGATTTGCTCGTATATAAACTGCGTATGTCTGAAATACATGATTAATGCAGTGGAAGCTGTGTTCTGGACTCAACAGACAGGGCTAGGTAGAAGGACCAATCAGGACTCAGAATTGACTCTAGGCTGCTCGTACTGGTTCATGCGTCATTGGTCTGGTCAATAAGTCGGTGTTCTAATTGGCGATTTAGTCATGTGATAATCAACCCAGCAAAAGACAAAACATAAATACGACTGTTGATGGTGGTATTGACGATAAGTTGTAATTTATGTACCAAACGTAAATTCATGTTCTTGGACATTGGGACTCACTGTATGATATCTAGCGGTATGAAAACATGAACCGGCACACCTCTAAGCTTTACGTTGATGATGACTAAGTAATGGTCCATAAATCGAAACTGGAAGTGAAGGGAGAATCAAGTCTTCAGCCTATTGATTGAAAAGCGAGAACTTTAAACACCACGTTACCGCTATCAAATTTTTAAACTACAGCACAATAAGTACCTATATATTGTCACTTGTATTAACTGCATTCAAAAATAACAAATTTACTAGAAACCACTAAACTATTTCATTATCAATAAACTTATACTGAAAAAAACACTACAACTACCTTTTCTTTTTCTGTGTCAACTTTAACTTTAGCCGGATCATTCGGATCAGTTATGACTGCTCTTTTGGCTAAGAATATGCCGTCCATATTTCGATGGGATCTTAAAGCATTTAGAAGGTATTTGTCGTAAATCCATCGATCGACTTCTTGAAGGCAGATAAAATCCGACTGATAAGAAAACAGTTCACGTAAAATCAACGGTAATCGGTAGGCTGAACTGATACAAGCCTCTGGGCAATGTTTGAATATATGGGCACGAGCAAAATCAGATCGAGCATACATTTCGGCCAGAATATTGTAACTTACAACACGTAAATGTTGTGAATCTAATTGATTGTTTTCAATCCACTTATACCTGTTAATTAATATGAGAATAAGAGTAAGAGGTTATGAGAGTGAGTGGAGAAACGTCCCATCTTACACGACAGTGTAATTACAATTTGCATACAAAAAAAGGGAATCGAGAGTATAGCTAAAGTGATCGCTTAACATCAATTAAGGCCATACCCTGAATTTTACAGCCTACAATTCTTGCTGTTTTGAAGAATCAAATACTGTGGCTCCCAAAGCTCTATATCCCTTTGACTAACGTATACATAACCTGCATAATTCAATAGCTATGTGTTAACCAATATCATTAGCTATCTACATTTTTTGCGCGACAGGTTCAAACGTCATTCGTTAACCAACGTTTAGGAAAGCATCATTAGGACAAAATATAACATGAGGCATACTGTATTGGCCATTTTACAGTCCTGCTACTTCTTATTGAACTCACAAAATTCCATTTTGATCCTTGCAAAGTGCATGCATTACCATCGATAAGTTTCTCTGAAAATGTGGTTACCACCATTGGCTGCAACAAGTGCAGTTACTTGGCAGAGTATACCTTGAATTGCTATATTCAACGTATTACAAACAAGCTAGAAATGTAGAACATATTTATTTTAATTATAAATGTTTTACTTCATTATGCAAAACTACTTTTATGGCGAATGAAATTAAACCAATTATTAACGTTCTTACCTCTGCTGATGAAATACTTGATTAGGAGCTATAAGTACAGGCGATTTGCATTCAATCGGTTGTCCATAAGGATCAAAAAATTTGTTTGTTCCGAATGGGACACCGGCCATACCTTTAATGTCACGTACATGAACTTTCAACTGAATTGATAAACCAACATGATCTTCAGTTGGTATGAATAAGAAGCCTTTGTGACACGGTTTATCTGGCCATTTTTTAGACTGTGAATTACAGAGGAAAACAATCACACACATGATCGAAATAAACAAAACAATTCAAAAAGATTGGATGTAGACATTAAAATTAACAGAATGAATCGTAATACAGAAAGTGATTGAATGAAACTGAAGATTGCTACTGATACGAACTTTACTGTTCTATTAGACTGTCAATAAACCCAAAGCGGTCAAATTTTAAGCCTATGACTTTTATGCTTAGAGTTAGGAGAAAACTAACTCAGTTTCATATTGATAGTTCACGTGCCACGTTTAGGCGAATTTAGACAAATTTATGTAGGTAAGGTTGGGAGAGATCTGGGATTTTTGGATTCATTGTGATGAAAATCACTATCGATGCTCACTGAAAAGTAGACAATAGTCTCCTTGTAAATTCCTCGTTTGCTACGAACCATGAAAAGAACTAGACGACATTTTAGATAAGCAACTACTGATTAGATATAGTGTCTAAATTCATGTGAACCTGGATGTAAAATCCTGCATTTCCACATACTGTTAACATTACGAACTGAGAACTTTGTAGATTAATGCTGGATGCGCCTACCTACATACATTACTTAAGATCATCCAACTCGCATTGAGCATGAAAGATGTTTGATGATAGTGTATGTATTAAGAGTCAATGAACCCACAAAATAAACAGATTTCATACACTTTGCAAAAAGTTATTCATAAATCCAACTACTTACTGTTTCTATATTTTTTGAAGTTTAAATGTCGTAAATTCGCTAGAGATTAGAAAAGAATACTAAATACACACGAAATAAGATTTTTGTTGTGGTTATTTTATTCAATAGGATAACACATATCCATAAATACACTAGCGAATTTACAGAAACAGCATCATAGTCAAGCTACTGTATATCAAATTAAAAAAGAACGAATAGGAAATATGATTACCTGTCCAACAAACCATAGAAATTCAGAATTTGTCAGACATATATTTTCTCCTTCGAGAAGCGGTACAACAGGGCAACCCACCATTGGAATTGTATTTAAACGGCATTGGATTATATATGCTGGGTTTCTCTGGACAACATAAACAAGCAAGGTATTTTTTTCAGGATAGTCATGCATGGAAAAGTTTATTTGCAACAATAATTGATACGGTTTACTAGCATTGTTATCAGTAGAGTCTGATAGAAAACAATCTTCAAGAGTCTTGTCATTACTAAATTCCGTTAAAGCAGTTGATCCATCTGTACTTTTGCAAACCAAGTTAGCTTTTGTAGCTAAATAAACTCTGTTATTGGTTGATATACTCCTTCCTTTCAAATACTGGCCATTAATGGAAGATATAAGACGAGTGAAGAAAACCGATAAGGGTTCGTGAACTGAACATTCAAAAGAAAATCGTCGTTGCCTACGATCCTGCTGAACTTCAAAATTAGTTGAAGCTGGGATGGAATATGGAATAAACAGTTCTGCAACCAGCTTCTTACATTCTTGATTAGCTATTGATCGGATAAAAAAATACGGGAAGAAATTCGAAAACACATCCGAATCCACTTTTGAACAATCTGTTTGCATATGTATTTTGCGGTAACGTCTACAGAAGAGATATCGAGACGAAACTCGTATCCACATCAATTGGATTTAAACCGCAGAAAGATTTTTACAGGAACGCCTACAAAACTGTAGAATAATTTATTTAAATATAGTGAAAATTCCCATTTTGACATTTGGTGAATAAAGAAGGAACGAATTGAGAGAACTTTCTTTTCAATTAGTTGAAAACTAATTGATAAGAAAGTTCTTTGCACAAATCATTCCTTCTTAATTTATTTAAAATTGTGAAACCGGTTTCAGTCAATCAGTAACAACGTAGAACTTCGTACGTACGTACATCAGTTCGAGTTGCCACACCACATTAGCACAGAGATGCACTTGTCGATTCAAATCCCATAGTGGTAGAGGTAATAAGAGTATAAGCAGTAATCGGGAAGATTAGGGTTTGGAGATGTTATTTAAAGAGTATAATCCAGTGAAAGAAATTTGGAAAGAGGAAAAAAGGGACATGAAGAATTCAGAAGATTAGAGTTTGGGAGAACACAGAGAGTGGATGCACCTGCGCCATTGCAAACGATTTTGAGCCATGTCATTCAGGGTCTCTAACCATCGGTTGCTATCATCTCGCGGTCCCCAACCAGGTAGTCTACACCTACCAACATGACTCAGTTCACTTGTCAGTGACTTCATGGACTTGTGCCATGTTTTGGTTTGGCCGCCCCTAGCTTTCTTCCAACCTACTCCTATACCACTGAACATAGCACGTCGAGGCAGTCGGTCGTTGGGCATACGTAACACGTGTCCCAGCCATCTCAACTGATGAAGTTTCACTACGTCATCAATTGGTTTGCCATCCTTACCTAGTACCCGTTTCCTAACAACTGTGTTACTTACTCGATGGTCCCATGATATACGAGCAATGTTTCGAAGACACATATGATCAAATACTAGTAACCTACGGATATCCTCTACTCTTACCGGCCATGTTTCACTGCCATAAAGTAGGACGGAACGAACTGCTGCGCAGTAAACACGTCCTTTGGTTGATAGACGGATATCTCGCCTACGCCATAAATGACGCAAGTTGGCAGAAGCTAGTCGAGCCTTCTGTATCCGTGCTGAGATTTCGTCACACACCAGACCACAAGGGCTGATGAGACTTCCAAGATAAGTGAAGCGGTCGACACACTCAACTACTTCACTCCCTATCACTAGTTCGAGTGTCGATGTAACCCAATCCTGAAGCAACATTTTGCATTTCGAGGGAGAGAATCGCATCCCGAACATGAAACCGGTTTATCGCACATTATATATATAATTACTATATTTCTGGGCACATCTGATATATGTGGAAAGAATATAATCGCCTTAAAAGTCTACTAATACCGTCCAAAGTGGAAAAACCATTAAATTTAGTAATAACTACCATGGTTAGAGCAATATTTCTACTGTCGTCTTAACATATACTGTAGTACGATGTGCAGAATAGTTACGGATCTATATAATTATTTCAAATCATAACCAGTCGGTTGTTATTTCCGACATGCAATGGTACTAAAGAATTAAATAACTTAGTCTTCAAAAAAGAAACTACGACCGAAAATACACTATATCTAACAAACCTGATTAGCCTTAAATACACTGTACCGTAAGTAATATCATTACTAAGTGTATTTAAAACTAATCAGGTTTATTAGATATAGTGTATTTTCGGTCGTAGTTTCTTTTTTGAAGACTAAGTTATTTAATTCTTTAGTACTATTGCATGTCTGAAATAACCAACTAGTTATGAATTGAAATAACTCCAATAATATGGATCCCTAAATATTCTGCACCTAACTGTATTAGGAAAGTAAAATAAGCAACTTCCTGGAAAAATGCTCTGAAAGCTAACTACCTACATGGAATTTGTGTGTATAGCAATGTATCAAACATGTAAATTCTGAAATCGAAATCGGAACATGTGCCTGAAAGGTGACAATGGGATTATTTCTACAAACCTTGGTCTGGTATATTTGAGTCATGAAGCATCTGTTAACAAAACACTGATACAAAAGTAAATTGATGAATAAAAAGATAAAAATAGCCGAAGCCATCCAGTTGCATTGAACGAAATCTCACATCGGTTTTATAAATACCATGAAACTAAATAATTAGATGGGGAACCATAGAAAAATTAAATATATCAGAAAAGGACCTCATACTGTAATATTGAAATTGATGGAGAACCTTGGATCCTACCTCTTAATGATTAACTACAGCATTGATACAAGTTATGGTAACTAGAAGTAGACTCAAACTAATCGGGACAAATGAATACAGATTTTGAGAGCAAATACATATTTGTGAATAATATAATCCAGAACTCGAATGTTTGAAGTCTATCACTAACTTTTAGGTGTAGACACCATAACTAAGAAACTGAACACTGATTATCCTCAACACGAACATAGCTGGAACGCCACAACCCTATAAACATTCTACGCCCATCGTGATAACTCTTATTGGGTAGAAAATAATCGATAGCTATACGAAATACTAATTTGTAAACTAAATTGGAAGCTTTGATACCAGAATTTCATTGATGGTTTTTCTTGCTGCTAGAAACATTGAATATGACCGACAGTAGCATTGTTACAAACCAATCTCTTTTCTGGATAACCCATAAAAATCCATCTGATCTTTTGTTACGTGAACCATGTGGGAGGAACGCGAATGCCTGATTACTACAGAGAACATGATCATTAGCATGAAAAGCAAGCTATGAAGTTTACACATGAATCTGACAACTTTCATTTGTCGTTCTCTTTCAACGTAGCTCATCCTCTTGAATTAAAAGTGAATGAGAAGTCGAGAGTACATGCCATACAACTGATGTCAACAATGTAGACGGCTCTAGCTAATATTCACTAACGAGAGATATGCTAAAAAATATTTCCAGATTTTGTGGTTGGGTAATATTAACTTATTTTTTAAGGAAGATAACTAACACTACACCATTAATCAAAGGAGCTAGAGAACGACATACCTACTGGAAGACACATGCTTGAGATGACGTCCATAGACGAAAGCTGGAGCAACCAGCAGTAACTCTCCGTCTCCAATGGTTGTTAGACTGGTATAAATATACGTTTAAGATATTTTCAAGAATATAAACAAACGGATAAAATTAGGCTAATGTAGTGCTACACAGGTTAACTAAGTGCTACGACCCGATCCTTTGAAATCACTTAGGTATTCTATTTCAAAGACTTTTGTGGGACGTAATGTATCTTTGTACAGGAAGCATTACTTTTTGGAAAAGCTAGTATGGAAATAATTTCGTAAGGTTGTTATGATCACATGCTGATGAGCGATCCAGCTGTAAAGTAGTTCTTTACTATTGTTGTACAACTGTCAAACAGAAAACCGTACTTCACTTGGTAGTTCTCAAACCATCTCGTACTGAAACTCTAAACTAGCCAGACTTATCTTGACTTATGGACGAGACCACTCCACCAACCTATTTACGAAATAACGTACTTGATGAGTCAGCTGGTTTTTTAGTGATAATCAACAAGCTATGATAACTTGATAAGTTAGATAGCAAACAATTCTGCATGCAGGTTTATTGATGTGCGATGCGAAACCTATTTTCGTTTACTTCTCCAGGTCATTGCTGACGGATTTGCAACTGTTAACGTGAATGTTACACCCGGTTAACTAATATGAGAACAGGACTCTAAATTCCAAATTAAGCCATGCTTCCGGTATACCTTGAAAAAAAACGACTAACTAAGAATTGGTACAAAATATGGGTAGTCTGTGATCTTACAAATATCAAGTTGGAAGCCGGATCATGCATTTTGTGGGTTTCTACTTTTGAGGAATGTCGCGTATACACACACAACTTACATCAGATGTTTATGCCCGGACTAAACCGTTTATCTTTAAAGATTTGCATAGTATAGAGGTAACATAAAATTTCTCACAGGCAAATAGCTTCAACTTACTGAACTGAGGAACTGTCTTTGTGAGTACAACATACGCATCATAAAATATGAAACAATACACTTAAACCATAATTGAGTTCTTTATGATAATTAGTTCTTTGGCAAAAATGATTAGAACATGTCATCAAGAGACAAAGTGAGAAACTGGAAAATAATACACTGGATTCCTCTTCAGCGTAAGCTTCAAAGGAAGAAACAAATTTTCATGAAAAACCGCTTATTAAACCAAACTTTAGATGGCATAGCAAAAATAAAGCTGATATACAAGCATATATATTAGATATATAAATAAGCATAATAAATTAACTACACATAAATTAGTCTAAGTGAAAACTGACTGGCAAACAGCAAGTGGATTTAGAAGAGTATCATGAATAACCCATAACTTGAGTGTTCATCTGTGGAAACTAATCTACTCGGTTAGTCAATAAAATTGACAAAAGAAAACTGAAAACCCGAATACGGGGGAAATTATTTCGACGTTTGGTAAAATAGAAATCCTGGGTAAAACTAAGAAACCATCGAGATATAATGTGACAAAACATCCCAGAATTTATGTGGAACAAAAACAAAATAAACTTGAGAATTTGAGGAAGACTACTGAGAAAAATTCATCTAAATTTGCGACGCTTCGATTTTCCGCCTAAATTCCCTTGCGAACTGCAACTTCCTGAGTTTAGTGAGTGTGATGAATGTATAGGAGAATCTGATTTACGATAAGCGGGTAACAAAGTTGGTACAGTCGATAAAATCGGTGGTGGAGAAGAACGTGAGGGACTAGAAGATGAACGCAACTGTTGACGAACTGGTTTGATGTTTGAATGTGTGGTACCATCCGCGGATGTTGGGATATTTTCTAACGACCCTGTTGAATTTACTTCCCTCGAAACTGCTGAGTAGTCATCATCTGTCCTGAAGGATTGCCGTGATGTCGGGTTAGATGAAGTATTAGACGAAGATGACAACCCACCAGGACTAGACCGCTGGGAGAGGGATCGTGCAGGCCCAGTACTGGATCCATCAGACGAAGAAACAGAAGGGGAAAATGCAGAATGTGAACTAGAAACTAGGCTCGTGGTGTTGCTGTCGGTCGCCAATCCCCCGATTGAATTTATGGCACTCGTGTTAGTGACGAAATGCATTACTGTGTTAGCACGGCCAAGCGCAGAAGGAGAATAATTTGCCATAGTGCACAGAACAGGTTTTTGTGACTGAAGAACAGATGGATGACTAGACGACACATATTCTGCACCAGAAGCAGTTCCGGGCTGAAATGAAGAAATACATAAATACAATAAAAGATAGTTGTTAAGGTTTATTCCAGAAATTAGGTAACATCTGAGCCAAAATTGGATGACTATAAGCAACATGTGAGCTTGGTTTATAATGACGGGTTGTTGCAACCGCCATGTAGAGAGCGAATGAGCAATGTGGTTAAGCCTACAGTCAAATGACTTACACAAGATGGTAAATGTTATAATCTCTTTCTTACGGTTATGACCTAGCTATTCCTATTGCTTAGTACTCTTGGACACCAAACCACTCGACAAGACCCCAAATCAGAACACGGTTGAACAGGAAAGAGATTATATTTCAAATAGCCAGGTTAGATGGAAGTAAGATGCAAGTAAGAAGCACAATAGAGAAAACGTTAGTATGTTTATAGTTTTTACATGAGAAGATTCTAGAGTATTCTCCAACTATCGACTAGTGCTGATTGGATAAGAATTAGCCAGTCAGCGTGCAGCAAAGCAATCGTGCATTGAGCATGCTTTAATCCAGTCTATGTCCCGCTAACAGTAAATACATCAATTATTACAGGAAATCCATAGGTTGATGTCTAATTGTAATATCACTTGTAGTTCAGACTAACATATCAGAAACATAAATCAGGTAAAAATAAAGCAAACGAACGAGTGATGACTAATGAATGCTCAGGGAGAAAAGTATAAGAACACTCAATCAAGAACGGTTGTAATTAAATCCAATACCGAAGCTAAACTTAGCCATTACTACTATATCTAAAAAAGCCGATAGACGTACTATTATGACTATCACGACTTACCACTTATTATGATTACATAGCTCCACCTGGAGCTCTCCTAGGAATACTGCCGGTCCCGAGCCAAGATAGAGGTTTGGCGATGAGATAAACAGCACTTCACAGAAAACAACCCTGATAAAAACGGGTAATCAGAAAAATTCATTTAAACTATTTAAACTCTGTGAGCTGAAGAATCTTTGTTTAGAAGAGTTATAACGAATCATTGTGAAAGCCAAGATTATTCAGAACTCATGAGGTCGATGGCCATTCTGATAACCAGAACTAATCAATATAGGCACATGGAATGTCCGAACAATGTAGGAGGCTGGGAAGACTAGTAAAACAGCAGCAGAAATAAGGAGATACAACCAAGCAGTTCTCGGAATAAGTAAAACCCATCGGAGCCAAACTGGACAGAAAACGCTAGACACAGGAGAGATGTTGCTGCACTCAGGTCGTGAACAAGAAAGTGCTTCACCCACACAAGGATTTATACTGCTGTCCAAAGAGGCATGAAAAGCACTTATAGGACAAGAATCTCATGGATCCAAAATCATAAAAGGAGTGTTCAAAACAAAGGAGGGGCTTACGATGAAAACTGTCCAGTGATATCCACCTACTAATGATAGAAACGAAGACGACAAAGATCAGTTTTATGAGACGCTGCAATCGATCGTAAGTGTCCAGGAAAGGACCTGAACATCATGACAGATGTCTCTCCACTAAAATTAGAAATCAGCATGGCCATTAGATCAAGAGTGGCAAGACAGCAGGACCAAACAGAGTAAAAGATGAAGTCAGATACAGCGGTAGCTACAAAACTGACATTTTTCCAGAATGATTATGGAGGAACAACTACTAATGGATTGGAAAGAAGGATACCAGATTAAGATACCAAAGAAAAATCCAAGCAAGTGAGAGAACATCAAAGAAAATACACAACTACCATTTCCAGTGAGTTCCAGACAGAATGCTGCTAAACTAAATAAGACTCCGTAGACGCCTAACTTCGAGACCAATGGGTTGGATTTCTTACAGAGTAACAGTATACGAGACTACAGATCATTGTTGAGTAGTCAAGTGAGTGGAATTTTTCATTATACATCAACACCCTTGCCTATGAGAAGACGTTTGACAATTTGAATAGAACCTCGTGAAACCTTCTCTAAAACGATGATGTACCCGAGAAGATCATCAAAAACATATGGACTGAATAGCGAAGTTGTGCATGGAGGACAACTGACAGATGCATCCCAAATCAAGACTGGTGTCAGGAAAGGTTGCTCACTTTCGCCCTTTCCCTTCTAGTTGTTGACAGGACTATGAAGATCTCCACATCACAGGGGAAGGACAAAATGCAATAAACATCTAGACAATTTGGACTTCGCATATTATCTTCTATTCCACACACACCAACAAATGCAGATGAAGACAGTCAGTATGGCACCAGCCTCTGCATCAGTAGGCCTCAACATTTACAAGGGGAAAAGCAAGATCCTAAAACACGACACAGCGAGCACCAACCAAGTCACAATGAAAGAGGCGGAAGCATTTACGTACCTGCTCAGCACCATTGATAAACAAGGTGCATATGATGCAGATGTGAAGGCTCGGATTGCCAAAGCAAGGGTAGCATTCCTACTATACATCTGGAACTCAAGACAACCGTCACCCGAGACCGAAGTTAGAATTTCTAACACAAGCGTTAAGACAGCTTCATTACACGGAACTGGAACTCGAAGAACTACTACAACGAACATCAACATTAATCGGTTGCGGCAAAGAACAAAATCAGCTTTCAGGTGAAGAGGGGATTAAGAAAACTCTGGATAGGACACACATTGTAGGAATCATCAGACTGCATCACAAGGTAAGCCTTAACTTGGAATCCTCAAGGCGAAAAAACAGTAAAACCAGGAAACACATTGCTCCGGGAATTAGAGCCAGACATCGAAAGAATGAATAGCAGTCCGGAACGACTATGAAGAATGGCTCTGGATGGAGTTTGTTAGAGACTCCCAGTTGGTGGCCTACGCTATATGAGTGGTAACAGGTTAAATAATTATGATTATGTATTTGAACAAGAAGCGTGTACACTTGAAGCAGTGTGTAAATCAGCAGTGAATTTTTTTTATTTTGATAACTGAGGTGGATATTTAATCTGAATGAATAAAGGAAAGTGGCCTATATCTATAGCTGGGAGTATATTAGCGCTAACAAGAACTTGACATTTATGAAATATGAAATCAGGAAAATCGACATGTATACCTATAAAAACAAGTGGTGGATTGGATGCGAAGGATGAGTCTAAATCTCGTAAAACAAATACCGTAGGCAGGACAGCTGTTAATTTTATCTACACAGAAATGTAGGTTACCAACAGATATCTGAACTGTTAACCGAAGTTAACGGTGTAGCTAAGGCCTTTTCACATAAAATTCAATAGATATTGGACTTGAATTATTTCATACAACCGTTCAGATACCACACTTACACATTCTGTTGATGTAGATGACTGGAGTGGATCTTGAGACATACAGCGATACATTGGGACACCCGAAGCTGTTGGTGATATTAATCGAAGGGCGACATTATTATTCGGAGAAATAGTGTTAGCAAAAGAACTTGATGTTGGAGTGTTGCACGCTTCTTCGCCATCCATTCGCTGCACCAAACGTTGGAGCTCTTGAACCTGGAAAGTAGACGATACAAAATACAAACATAGACCCTAACTTATGAAAATGAAAAGCTGGCTCAACATATCAAATACAGTAAATTAAACCTAGACTGGACTTTGAACAGCATGGCTAATGTAGAAAATTAACTGAAAACATCAGTCATTTGTGATACTCGTTATTAGCATGCGTTCGAACATTTCTCCTGACATTCTTACTTATATTAGGAAGTTGCCGTGAAAGTAATAACGCGGCATGTTTGTTTTCCGTTCGTTATACATGCTGAACGTTAAATATGATGTTAGATGACTTTTATACTTGTAAGTTAAAATAAACTATTTAAAATCCTTCAGTCTAGTTCTACCTTGGACTATATGTCATCTAGCGGTAGGTGAAAACAGTTGAGATTAGGATATAACGTGTCCATGGGATTATTAATTTTTATTTTGAGGTGTGCTTTGAGACGTGCCTCCCTGGTTGACGTACGAGAAATAATTGTTGGAGACTATGTAGAATTGCCCGAAACCGATCATGGTGCATATTTATTCAAAATTTATCTGGCAATTGTTTAGTGTTTGTCATTCAGCTACAACGTAGGTCCAGGCACATATATGCATCGGTTTATGCGTTTATATTAGCACATCACAGTACTAAATTACATCCTATTTCGCGTCTTAATCTAGATTTTTGTCATTGTTTTATAATCAGTTGCAAACGTTTCTCCATTCATTGATCATTATTGCTGTTTAGATGTGAAATGAGGCAATATAAACTGAGGGCATCCAAGGTTCACGTGTCTGTCTGTAGTAATAATTGACATCTGTTTGATCCATAAAGCCAGTGACAGGCGATGAAGATTGTGTGAAGGACTTAAAATGTACAAATGTATCCGTAGTTAGTATGAATGTACCCACGTTAATCAATCCACGTTACATTCTTTTAGACATATGGTTGGTTTTCTACTGAAGTTTCCGTTGCATTGCTTGGTAGTTGATACCTGTACATTGATTAGTAAATTAATAGAAACGTAGAAACTACGTAAAGGTCTAACCGTTAGTTCTGCTGACGTCTACCAATACATCTAAAAAATCGATTTACGATGTTGGTGTGATCATAAAAAATTATTAGTCCCACGACTTACTCGAGAATCCAACAGGTCGTTCTGACGTTTCAGCGTTTCAACACAAACAGTATGGTCACGATTCAATTTGACCAACTCTTCGATGCACTCAACTGCGCGCTGTAGTATAACTGCCCTAGATGCTTTCGATCCTCGTAAACCCGGGATAACTTCTCGAAGGTCATTATAACTTGTTTTGATGCTTGCACGTCTTTTACGTTCAAGTTGGTTGTGATGATCCCGTCTGAAAGTCAACGTAGATTTGGTAATCTAAGATTGTTGAAAACTCAAGGACAGGTACCACACAAGCAATGTTATTTATCAACCTGAGAATGGTTCGTCAAAAGTAACAAACCTTAGTAATAATACATTGAAAACCAAGGAAAAGTTGTGTAATAGATTTACCATATGGAAAATGGTACTTTATAGTGAGGTTTGCAGACCATAAAGAGAAGAACCCATTCTTGGACGGTTAATTTCACGGCAATTTAGGATCTAATGTAGCCATTAGTACAGACTGAGTTCGAACCTAGTTGTACTGGACTTGATAGCAGATATATTGAAGCACGATAGATCAATTCATTTTTACGAATTTAACGATATACGTAGGGTAAAAATGAAGATAGAAAACTCCAGTCAACAAACACGTTGTGAGATTATGGCTAAGTCTGATATATTACGAGACACTGTGTACGACGTGAACAAGCCATGGCAGCGATTCATTTTAAAATGATAGGATCTTCCTAATCGTTCCATAATACGTTAGACATATGCCAGATATCAACGAGTATCTTATAAATATGTTTAAATCAAGATCAGACCGTCATGTAAAATTACAGAGGTAAAATTAACTATGATGAGTTAACAGAAAGTAACTTCATTCGACACTCCTACTAGAATACTTATACAAAAACACAAGATTGGTTCTGCAGCGGTATTTTATTAACACCAAGCTCGGTACCAAAACATTGTCATTCATCTTACCTCCTCATTTAAAGGTATGTGCTAAGCCTCTCATTCTAGGAATACTACTTCGCTCGACTAGTTTTTCTCTACCTTGTTGGTGTGAAGAATGCATACTCATCCCAGACCTCGCGACGTATATGACTGATCGTCTTCAAAGTGGTACTTTGAACATTGCTGAACAAACTTTTACTGAGACCAATGGTGACTAATCTTAATGATTCACTGACTAGTTCACATTAGCATACCTTCAATTGTACCTTTTTAACGTCCCAGTATTGTTACTGATAGTAACCGTTTGTAGGGTTTTTCCTCAATTTTTGTAAATGACCATCACCTAGTGCAGCTAATTAGAGAGCACTACGAAACAGTGAACACAAGGAAAGATCTGAACGTCTTCCCACGCGCAAAGAAAGCTTTAACGACCATGTATGCAGTAGGATTACGTTTGTCTCAAGTAAACATAAACATGCTGGGGCACTGGGACTTGTTTTTGTTACTAAGGTGGTTTCTATAGTAACAGGAGTGGAACGCCATTCCTGGTCTGTTGAAACCACGCTCTAAACTACACGTAGGAGCTTTTAACGTACGAACACTTTGCCAAATAGGACAGCAGGCTTCCTTAGCTAAAACTTTAGAATCTCGCGCCATCGATGTGTGCTGCGTCTCCGAAACGCGCATACAGGATCCAAGTAGCGTCATTCATTTGACCTCACCATGCCAAAATAAAGAACCGACTCGATTTACGCTTCGTGTATCTGGAAGCCCTGATTCTGCTTCCCGTGGCCTCGCCGGCGTAGGTATAGCATTGAGTCCTAGGGCAGAACTAGCTCTCTTAGAGTGGATCCCAGTAAACAGTCGTTTGTGCGCTGTCCGACTGAACGGAACAGTAAGAATCCGGAAAGATAGGGACACTCGTCGTTGCCTCTTCGTCGTCTCTGCCTATTCTCCCACTGACTGCAGCTCAGATGATGTAAAAGATGAGTTTTACAGAAAGCTTTCGGACCTTCTCCGAAAAGCTAAGCGCTCGGATGTAGTAATAGTGGCCGATGACTTTAATGCTCAAGTAGGTAAACTAAGCGATAAGGAAAGACACCTAGGTGGATCCTATGGTGTCGTGGCTCAAAGAACAGATAATGGCGACCGTCTGTTGCAGCTATGCTCAGATAACCGCCTGTTCCTTGCAAATACTAACTTTAAGCATAAGGAAAAACATCTTTTAACATGGAGACCCCCTAATTCGTCCCAACGTTGGACCCAAATAGATCACATCGCTATCAGCCACCGATGGAGGGGCTCGATAGAAGACTGTCGCTCATTCTGGAGCACATGCCTAGATTCAGATCATGCTCTAGTGCGAGCGCGCATCTGTCTGCGTCTTACTGGACGTAGGAAAGATCCTGCAAGGAAACCTCTTAGGGCCTACTTAATGATAGTCAAGCTAAGAATATATTTCAGGAACAACTAGGAAAACAGTTAGGCAGCCATGTATGTGATGCCCACCCCGAGGCAGCATGGAACGATATCCGAAAAGCTGTGGAAACAGCAGTGATATCTGCTAGTAAGGTAAACCGTAAAGTTAGGGAGCAACACTGGATCTCAGCAGCATCTATCGCACTGATAGATGCTCGAAAACTCATTCCACCTGGATCTGAACATAATGAAGAGCGGAGTCAGCTTAAGCGCAAGCTGACAAGAAGTCTACGCAATGATCGCGAACAGTGGTGGGTAGCGAAAGCAAGAGAGATGGAAAAGGCAGCGGCAATAGGTAATAGCAGACAATTGTTCAGACTCGTTAAGGAAACCGGAATTAGGAACCCGACCGTTAGCGAAACAATCTCAGAGAAAGATGGACATATTATTCATTCTGAATCCAGGAGATTGGATCGATGGGCAGAACACTTTAGGGATCAGTTCAACTGGCCTTCAGCCACACTTCGGTTCCCCACGATCTCCAGTCAACCTGAATGGCAAGTTAATGTAAGTCCTCCGTCCCTTTACGAAGTTGAAAAAGCCATAGGAAATCTGAAACGAGGGAGAGCAGCAGGCCCTGACAGGTTTACTCCTGAGATTTTTAAGGATGGTGGTCCAGTATTAGCAATGAGATTAACTGAGGTCTTAGGTAGAATTTGGGAACTGGACGTAATCCCATCTGATTGGTCTCAATCACTGATTGTGCCAGTTTTTAAGAAAGGACAAAAGTCCTCTTGTGACAATCACAGAGGAATCAGTTTGACAAATATAGTGTCTAAAATATTAGCCTCAATAATACTTCGACGCCTAACTAAAGCTCGTGAAGAGCAGACTAGAGAAAACCAGGCTGGTTTTCGACCTGGACGTGGTTGTATCGATCAGATATTCACACTACGTCAGGTTCTAGAACAGAGACACACATTCAGACGCCCCACAATGGTAGTATTTCTCGACCTTAAGGCGGCATTCGACTCCGTTGATCGTGAGGTTCTATGGCAGTGTTTGTCACTGAAAGGAGTACCAAAGAAGTACATTAACCTTATAAAGGCTCTCTACTCGAACACAACTGGTAGAGTGAGAGCTTATGGCGAACTGTCATCAGAATTGATCACCTCAAGTGGTGTTCGTCAGGGCTGTCCACTCTCCCCATTCTTGTTCAACTTTGTCATTGACGTACTTTTAGAGATAACACTCTCCTCATCTAAATTTAAAGGGGTTGAACTTCTACCAGGAGGTTCACTTGTTGACTTAGAATATGCAGATGACATAGTTTTATTTGGTGAAGACGCTGACAAAATGCAGAGTCTTCTGACCACTCTAAGCAACAATGCAAGCATGTTCGGGAGGCGATTCTCCCCCTCGAAATGCAAAATGTTGCTTCAGGATTGGGTTACATCGACACTCGAACTAGTGATAGGGAGTGAAGTAGTTGAGTGTGTCGACCGCTTCACTTATCTTGGAAGTCTCATCAACCCTTGTGGTTTGGTGTGTGACGAAATCTCAGCACGGATACAGAAGGCTCGACTAGCTTCTGCCAACTTGCGTCATTTATGGCGTAGGCGAGATATCCGTCTATCAACCAAAGGACGTGTTTACTGCGCAGCAGTTCGTTCCGTCCTACTTTATGGCAGTGAAACATGGCCGGTAAGAGTAGAGGATATCCGTAGGTTACTAGTATTTGATCATATGTGTCTTCGAAACATTGCTCGTATATCATGGGACCATCGAGTAAGTAACACAGTTGTTAGGAAACGGGTACTAGGTAAGGATGGCAAACCAATTGATGACGTAGTGAAACTTCATCAGTTGAGATGGCTGGGACACGTGTTACGTATGCCCAACGACCGACTGCCTCGACGTGCTATGTTCAGTGGTATAGGAGTAGGTTGGAAGAAAGCTAGGGGCGGCCAAACCAAAACATGGCACAAGTCCATGAAGTCACTGACAAGTGAACTGAGTCATGTTGGTAGGTGTAGACTACCTGGTTGGGGACCGCGAGATGATAGCAACCGATGGTTAGAGACCCTGAATGACATGGCTCAAAATCGTTTGCAATGGCGCAGGTGCATCCACTCTCTGTGTTCTCCCAAACTCTAATCTTCTGAATTCTTCATGTCCCTTTTTTCCTCTTTCCAAATTTCTTTCACTGGATTATACTCTTTAAATAACATCTCCAAACCCTAATCTTCCCGATTACTGCTTATACTCTTATTACCTCTACCACTATGGGATTTGAATCGACAAGTGCATCTCTGTGCTAATGTGGTGTGGCAACTCGAACTGATGTACGTACGTACGAAGTTCTACGTTGTGACTGACTGACTGACTGATAGTAACAGAAGTCATGTAATATCCGACTCTGAAACGTACGTTTGAGGAACGTCAGTTTCGACCACCGAGATTTACTGGGGTGAAGTTAAGATAGTACTCAAGTGCAAACTAATCACCAGTTGTCTATGGCTTTTGAGGTAAACGATACTGAAAGTTCGGGACCAGAGACGGTACGCAACACTTGGTTTGTATTAGGCTTTATGCATCACTGTGATGAGCACAAATATAATCTAAAACCACCATTCTGTTAGCAGATACCAACAAAGTAATTTGTTCGGAATAATATCGGAAACCACGCTACACCTAATGGACATCAATACCTACCACATCACATTTAACTCCCAGGACAAGTTTTCGGGTACCCACCTATCCAACCACCACCCTAGATTGAAACTTAGATGAGAAACACATGTTAATATTTAAAAGAAACCACAAAAGTCATTAAAAAACTTGCCTGTTGTCTTCACCAGCCTCGACACAGTACACAGCACCACCTTCGCTAATAGATCTCTGGCGCCGCAAGTCAGCACTTTTGCCCTCACTTCCAGTATTACCAAAACTGTGGCTTCCGTAGCCAGAGGACCCAGGTATGTCATCTTCATCGTAGTCACTGAGTCCTTCATACCCATCAACATCGTCATCATCCAAGTCTTCGTCATCAACGTCTTCTTCGTAATGCTCTTCATGCATGACTTTCTGAGCGTATGAATTTAGGCATCTAGCCATCACGTTTATTCTCAAACTGCAGGTGCTTGCTGCAAACCTTGGACCATGTTCTTAAGCGGGGCCTTAAGCAAACCACGAGCCGCCAAAGTAAACAAAGCCACTGACTCAAGGTCAGAGTCCATCTTTAGTTCACTTTACTTTGTGTTTGTGAAAGTGATTTCAAACAAAAAACCGAAAATGATGAACCTCGAAAGTTTTACAGTCAGACGAATTGACCTGTATAATATGTTTTACTTAACTGGAATAGATAACACACTGCGAAATTAATATAGTAACACAAATGAAAGTGAATATATTCTGAATCAATGTCTAGTAAGTGTGCAAATAGTACATGTAGGACAATTATGAACTTCAAACCTTGTTGATTGAAAGTAGAAAGAGGCTTCTTCACCGAACTCCGATCCTAGTTGATATGAAATAATTCACAAGTACGAAAATTAACACCCCATGTGATAACCGTTGTAGCGGTAAATAAATCCCCAAAATAAATAGCCCTGTAAGTTTTCGACATTGGATGCTGACCATATGTTTTAGTGGACTCATCTAGCTGAAGGCGCTCGGTCATGCATCCGCACCAGATCACGTGTGGTAACGCCGTGCTCAACATCAACCGCAATGGGTAGCCAGATTAGATCAGAGAATTCCGATATTTTGGTTATCGCCAAATACACTCTTTCGATCCCCTCGACTCTGTCTTTTGATTTCTCTGAGTGGTTACGAATTATATTAGGTGTTACTGGTAGAAGCGTTGTCAAACATTGAATACCTGTGGCATCTTCATTGGTGAAACCGACGTGATCTGGTACACCTAATTGCAACTGTGATTCTGTTCCTTTTTGGGATTTTTATATATCATTGCCTTATTTTTTTATTTTTTTTTTAAACATTGTGATTTTTTTTTCGGAATTTTTCTTGGATATATATATATTTTCCCTCTCGTTCATTATCGTACTTCATACTTCATCATGACTGAACAGACACCTAAAGTACTCAAGCTACAGACTTGGTCCCCACTTTCGTTTCAACTGATGCCTTTCTGGCCCGACAACATCGAAGCCTGGTTCTGCTACGCAGAAGCCGACTTCCACGAGCGCGGCGTGAACGACACACGTGCACAATTCCTCGCAGTAGTCAAGGCACTATCGCGCCAATTCAACAGGTACGTAACACCTAGTATGTTTAGTAGTGATGTTTCTGAACCTTACGAAACCTTAAAACGTTCTTAAACGAGGAGACCTAACCGATCGACAAAGGCTAGATCAACTCTTCAATAACATCGACCTGCAACACGGTTCTGCGACAGACATGTTGCAACGGATGAGAGAGGTTATAGGCCCAAGAACTTTCGACGAAGGTCTATTCAAACAACTTTTCTTGTCTAAACTTCCACAACAGGTGCAAGCGGTTCTGGTCTCGTTTCAGAACAACGCCTTAGACGAACTGGCTGCATCACGAAATCTACTACCGATGTATTTTCAGTCAAAGAAAAGCCTCACACGACTCAGAATGACATAACCGAGTTATGCCATACACTCACGCGTTATCTTAATCTTCGTAACGACCGTAATCGCTCGCACACCCCACGTAGAAGCATTTCACGTAAGCGGTCTGTCTCTAGACCACGAGAGACAGATAACCCCGACTGGTGCTGGTATCACAACCAGTATGAAAATTCTTCCAGAAATTGCAGAAAACCCTGCAATTTTCCCATCTCAAAACCGATCGACTCGGAAAACAACTCGGGAATCTTCCAAACCGACACGCGTTAACGGCAACCGTAGCCGGCGAACATAGCCGTCTGTTATACGTCACAGATGTGACAACGAGAGTTCGCTACCTCGTCGACACTGGCGCAGAAGTTAGCGTTCTCCCAGCGAATCCCAACGACCGACTTCACGAATCGGCTCTAAACTTACAGGTGGCAAACGGAAAACCTATCGCCACGTATGGCAAAAGGTACGTCTACCTTAACGTGGGTTTACGCAAACCCATCCACTGGATTTTCGTTGTTGCAGATGTTTCTATGCCAATCATTGGCATGGACCTTCTACAACACCATAATCTAATCATCGATACTCGCAAACGGAGGCTAGTAGACGGAAACACTAATTTGTCCGTTTTCGTAACTTCTTTTACTGGTTGTAGAGTATCCCCAGTCACAGTTAAACATATGATAGACCCACTCTATCAACCACTACTCGATAAGTACCCTGGGATACAACAAACGCAACCGAGATTACCGTGTGTAACCAGCAACGTTACACATCACATCACGACTACAGGACCACCTGTATTCTCTAAAGCACGACGACTAGCTCCTGAAAAGCTAAGGTTGGCGAAAAACGAGTTCGATCACATAATAGACTTAGGAATCATACGACCGTCAAGTAGCCCATATGCATCTCCGTTGCACATGGTCCCTAAAAAGGACAGCAACGATTGGCGTCCAACTGGTGACTATCGGCGATTGAATGCGAAAACCATTCCCGATCGTTATCCGTTGCCTCACATTCACGATTTGACAGCTACCTTAAAGGGTACAACTGTCTTTTCGAAAATCGACTTGGTTAAAGCGTATAACCAAATACCTATGGCTACTGACGACATACCGAAAACAGCTATCATAACTCCCTTCGTACTCTATGAATTCTTGCGAATGCCTTTCGGTCTAAGGAATGCTGCTCAAACATGCCAAAGATTCATAGACGACGTTTTTCGAGGTCTCAACTTCGTACATGCGTATGTTGATGACTGCCTACTCGCAAGTTCGGACAGAGAAACACATCTCTAGCACCTGAATCTTGTTTTCGACCGACTACAAAAACATGGCATTACTGTAAACGTTCAGAAATGCCAATTCGGAACCGACTCGTTAGACTTCCTAGGACACACTATCGATGCTCAAGGCATTCGACTCCTTAGGACCAAAGTGGCGGCTATTCTGGATTACCCAGAACCGACCAACGTCAAGCAATTACGAACGTTTAACGGCCTTGTAAGTTTCTATAGACGATTCATACCGAAATGCACTTTACTTATGAAACTTCTTACCGACCAACTTCGTGGAAATGCAAAATCCATCAATCTGGACAACACTGAACGAAAAGAATTCTCCACAGTTAAGGAACTGATCGCTAAAGCAACAACGCTCGCACATCAGGACACTGAAGCAGCCATTAGCATCGCAGTAGACGCATCCGACTCAGCAATCGGAGGAGTCTTACAACAATGGGTTAACAACTCCTGGCAACCATTGGCATTTTTCTCTAGACGGTTGCTAGACAGCACATTCGGTAGGGAACTCCTAGCTATGTATTGTGCTGTACGGCATTTCCAACACTACATCGAAGGTCGTGAATTCACTCTTTTCACCGACCATAAACCGCTCACTTTCTCGTTAAGCTCTCCTTCTGACAAGTACTCTCCCCGTGAGGCTCGACAACTGGATTACATTTCGCAGTTTACTTCAGATATTCAACACATCTCTGGAGCAAACAATGTAGTTCCGGACGCCTTATCTCGCATAACTCCCTTGAACAGTTTCCAAGGAACCGACTTTCTCATAACTCCCAACTCCAAAAAGAAGACACTGATCTTCAGCACGAGTTATCGTCTACAACCCTTAAACTACGCATCAAACAGATGGGAACAGGTAAGGAAACCTTACTGTGTGACACATCCACAGGTAGGGATCGCCCAATCGTGCCGAAACGTTATCGACGCAATGTCTTCAACACATTGCACAAACTTTCGCATCCAGGTGTTCGTGCAACCATCAAGCTTATAGCAGAACGGATTTGCTGGCCTGGAATGAATAAAGACGTGAGGGAGTGGGCACGCCCCTGTGTAAGCTGCCAAAAATCTAAGGTCACCAGACACAATAAATGTCCCCTAGGCTCATTTAAAACTCCCGATGCTCGTTTCGACCATGTTAATCTGGATTTGGTAGGACCTTTACCAGATTCAAATGTTTACTCTTACCTCTTAACCTGCGTAGACCGTTTCACTCGATGGCCAGAAGCAGTACCTATCAATGACATCACTGCTGAAACAGTGGCCCTCATCTTCGTCGAACGATGGGTAGCAAACTTCGGTTGCCCTTCAACCATCACTACAGACCGTGAACGTCAGTTCGAATCTGGACTTTTCCATCGTCTGACCACACTTTTAGGAATCACTCTCTTACGAACGACCGCCTACCATCCACAAGCAAACGGGTTGGTAGAACGTTTTCACCGACAACTGAAAGCTTCACTATCAGCTGCAAACGTTTCACAGTGGACTGACGCTCTTCCACTCGTCTTACTAGGTATCCGCAATGCAGTGAAAGCTGACATTGGATACACTGCAGCTCAACTCGTTTATGGAACAACACTTCGACTTGCAGGAGAATTCGTGGATCCTTCATCCTCTTCAATGAACATGGATCTAACCTCCTACACGAACAGGCTTACAAACGCAATGCGTTCAGTTAAACCTGTTTCCATTCAACCGCAATCAACTGATGCTTTCGTTCAACCTGACTTACGATATAGTACACACGTTTTCATTCGTCGAGACTCGCATCGACGACCTTTCGAATTAGCATATGAAGGAACTATAAAAGTTCTTCAACGCAAACCGAAGTACTATATAATCGATAAGAACGGAACCAACGATAGCATCAGCATCGATCGCCTCAAAGCAGCGTACTTGGAAGGAAATCCTATCTACGTCGATTTTCCTTCAGTACAATCGAACGACACGACTCCGACACTTATAATACCCCATCCGACAACCAACACACACGATACTTCGACAGTATCCGAAAATAAACTTTAAACGACGCGTTCTGGAAGAAGGGTGAGATTTCCAGAACATTTAAACGACTATTGCACGTAAGGCACTTCTCGACATTTTATATTATATTTTTAAAAAAAAACAATTTTAATATGCTTATATATTTTTATTTCTATTTAAAAAAAAAACAAAAAAACATTTTTTTAACGCTATTACGTGTTCATGAGTTTATTTTCCTTTTTTTTCCGCCGACATTGTGTTTTTACGCACATACGAGTGTATTTTCGACATGCACTTACATTTTCTTTTTTCCTTTCCAGGACGGCTGGAAAAAGAACGATGACGTTTATGAGGA